CACATACTATTGCATTTTATCAATCAGATGAATTTGTCTTCCTCCCCTTCAGGAAAAGCTGATTGTTTCTAATGAGCAGGAAGTCCTACGAGTCCATTACCGGGCAGCGAGAACACTAGCCAATCAGACGCTGCCTTTCAGTGCCTGTACCGTTTTATTGGACGCTGAAGTGTACAACATGCCTCAAGAAGTCCAGGTACGTGACCTTTGAGGTTCTTAATGAGACTTATGTTTCATTCAGTTCGTCACAGTGGTTAATTGCTGTGTGTTTGATGGGTCGCTGTGTGTTTGATGGGTCGTTGTGTGTTTGATGTGTGTTTGATGGGTCGTTGTGTGTTTGATGGGTTGTTGTGTTTGATGGTTGTTGTGTTGTTGTGTGTTTGATGGTTGTTGTGTGTTGATGGGTTGTTGTGTGTTGATGGGTTGTTGTTGTTGTGTGTTTGATGGGTTGTTGTTGTTGTGTGTTTGATGGGTTGTTTTGTGTTTGATGGGTTGTTGTTGTTGTGTGTTTGATGGGTTGTTGTGTGTTTGATGGGTTGTTGTTGTTGTTGTTGTGTGTTTGATGGGTTGTTGTTGTTGTGTGTTTGATGGGTTGTTGTTTTGATTGGTTGTTTTTGTTGTGTGTTTGATGGGTTGTCGTTGTTGTGTGTTTGATGGGTTGTTGTGTGTTTGATGGGTTTTTGTTGTGTGTTTGATGGGTTGTTGTGTGTTTGATGGGTTGTTGTTGTTGTGTGTTTGATGGGTTGTTGTTGTTGTTGTGTGTTTGATGGGTGTTTGTTGGGTTGTTGTGTGTTTGATGGGTGTTTGTGTGTTTGATGGGTTGTTGTTGCTGTTGTGTGTTTGATGGGTTGTTGTGTGTTTGATGGGTTGTTGTTGTTGTTGTGTGTTTGATGGGTTGTGGTTGTGTGTTTGATGGGTTGTTGTTGTTGTGTGTTTGATGGGTTGTAGTTGTTGTTGTTGTGTGTTTGATGGGTTGTTGTGGGTTTGATGGGTTGTTGTGTGTTTGATGGGTTGTTGTTTTTGTTGTTGTGTGTTTGATGGGTTGTGGTTGTGTGTTTGATGGGTTGTTGTTGACAACAACAACCCATCAAACACACAACCACCCATCAAACACACAACCACGGGTGGTGGTTGTGTGTTTGATGGGTTGTGGTTGTGTGTTTGATGGGCTGTTGTTGTTGTTGTGTGTTTGATGGGTGGTTGTTGTGTGTTTGATGGGTTGTTGTTGTGTGTTTGATGGGTTGTTGTTGTTGTGTGTTTAATGGGTTGTTGTGTGTTTGATGGGTTGTTGTTTGATGGGTTGTTGTTGTTGTGTGTTTGATGGGTTGTTGTTGTTGTGTGTTTGATGGGTTGTTGTTGTGTGTTTGATGGGTTGTTGTTGTTGTGTGTTTGATGGGTTGTTGTTGTTGTGTGTTTGATGGGTTGTTGTGTGTTTGTTCCACAGAGCGAGGATGGAAAAACGTCAGTGAGAGACCGATTTAACGCCAGGCAGTTCATGTCTTGGTTACAAGATGTTGACGACAAGTTCGACAAACTAAAGGTAAGATCGCTGGGATTCTAACTGTGTTCTCACATGTTTTCTCTTACAAGTTTAAAGCAAATTTGTCTTTTAATTGTTTTGGTTATCCATTTTCTCAATTTCTGGGAACGTTCTCTCCCGTATTCCTCATGGAAACCCTCCGGCACATATCTCTTACTCTGTCCATCCAAGTTTTAGGTATTTGCTTTTTTGGCAGGCTGTAAACATTCCTCCTGTTTATACCAACCATAAATGGATCCCTTTCCATGTTAGTGATGGGGAACATCATCTGTGATCCTCGTTTGTTTTTGTAAATATACATTTAAAAATGAAAGAGATAAATACGAGGCTACAGTAGATGATGGGTTCCAAAGTTAGAGCATATTTGGCTTAAAATTCCCTTGTTTTCTAACTATCCTTACACAAAGAAGAGGCAGAGATTAAATCTAACAAATAGTAATCTATTACGCAGTGGAGTAGATTAATTAATTGTTAACCATTCTAAATATACCGTGTTTATAATCAAATGTATAAAAGTCGAGAAGCTTGGAAACTGCTTTGTTACTGCAATTCATTTCATAGGAGGAAATCAAATGTTAAGCATCAGTTTGAAAGCAGATAAAACAGATGTGTGTCTCTTGGCGTGAAGAAGTGGAATTCTTTGCCGAATGATTGAAAGGGCTGTAAGAACATTGTTATGTTTAAGAAAATGTATAAAGAAAGCGTAATTAGATGGTATGAAGTTGACTTTAGATTGTGTTCTGGTTTTATGTTTCAGTATTTGTAAGCAACTGTGACTGAAAGAGTATTGCTTTTATTTTTTTGTAATTTATTTTAAGACGGGGCAGGTCAAATAAGATTGTATTTTCTCCATTCCACCATGCGCTATAAAATAAACCGGAATAAGTGTACATGTTTTTTGTTTTAAAATGGCTGCCATGCGTGGAATAAATAAATACAATTTGCTGGTTTTTTACATGTTTGTCTTTGGTCTTCTCTCTACCTTGAAAAAAAGACATTGTTGAACTAAATAAGAACATTTGGTTGTATAAAATAATTAAAGTATCTCCCCCCCCCCCTCAGACGTGCCTCCTGATGCGGCAGCAGCACGAGGCGGCCGCTCTGAACGCCGTGCAGCGCCTGGAGTGGCAGCTCAAACTGCAGGAGCTCGACCTGGCCACATACAAGTCCACCAGCATCTTCGAGATCCCAGAGTTCTACATCCCGCTGGTGGAGGTCAACGACGACTTCGACCTCACCCCGATATGAGCGGCGGGACGGACGAGCTCTGACGGCGGTGGCAGATCCCGGACACGAGAGGCAGCACATTCACAGAAGAAGAAAATGTGAAGCACTTGGAATGTGGCGGTGAAACACAACGAGCATTTAGAAAAGAGATGGTTTCACTCCCAACGCTCTCACAGTCCGAACCGGCACGAGGACTCGGTTCCTCCTGCAGGAGAAGGAGGTCCAGAGGAGCCCAGACGCTGGGGGGGGGTGGGGGTCAGGAGGAGGAGGAGGAGCAACGTGTGGACGAGGACCACCGGCTCCTCCTGCAGCACGGTCACACAACTGAAAAGAGTTCAATTGTTTTCAAAGTGAGTGTTGATACATTGTGTACAGACTGTGCTCTTAATTTTGTAACTTATTTTATACATAAAACAATTGTGCATTTGTAAATAGTCATGTAATTATTGATTTAAACTTGTAAAAACAAAAAATAGATATTTTGATTGTAAACTTGTCCCGTCTCATGTTTAATGTCCAAAGTTGGGTTTTATATCTTCTGCTTCGTCCGTGGTGTTCTTGTTCTTCTCGTTGTTGTTTGCTTCAGATCTTAAGCACGTGTTGGCTTTCGTTGTTTTCTCTTTTTTCTGGTTTCCTTCCTCACCTGGAGCTCCACGCCACAGCTGGTGTTTTTTGACTTTGGCAATTAAATGCTGTGCATGCGTTGCGTTGTTTGTACTTGTTTCCTAAAGAGCTGTACTGTGGACTTTGTGAGGTTTACTGAAGTGTTCCAGCTTTTTGTCCCTTTCTGCGGCCTCACTCCTCGTGTGTTGTCCATCGTGTCTCGCGCACATTTACAGTCTGTTGTGGCTTCCAAGGGAAAAAAACACATACTTTTACACTTTCAATGTGAGATCACAACAAAACCTATTTTTTCAACATAATGCCTTTTTGAACAATAGTTCTAAAAAATGTCTATTTTAATATTTACTTGTTACATGACTTGTACATATTTGTAATATATAATTGAATAAATTTTATTTGTTGTGAAATTAAAATGGTTGGACTTGGTTTCATTTATCGTGCAGCGCGAGAAATAACGGCTGAATCCAACGGTCGATAACATAAAGAAAATGATAATAAATGATATTGACAATTGTTGATTATTTATCAAATGTGTATATATATATATTTAGGTTTATAAAGATGCCAAGCAGGTTTTGTTTTCTATAATGTTGGAAATATGTTATATAAACTAGGCTTTTTAATATAATGTGTATTTATTTTATAAAGTATTAAAACAGGTTGCAGCCCCTGTAATTAAGATGTACCTTTTGAGTGGTCTTTAGTAATTCTCTTAAAAGCAGTATCATTCTCGGCCAGTAGGTGTCGCTGTACAGCTCAATGTGCTGCAGACTGAACAAACTAATACGATATTTGTAAAGCTCTTTAATATCAAACGTTAGTCTAACTATACATTTATCATTCCAATAATATATAATTATAACAATCCAACATCTTGGATAATATTGGATTTTGGCTTGGACCAATGCTATTTAATTTAACGTCAGAATAAAGAAGAAATCGTACATTTTCTTTTCAGAATCAGCTTCAAAAGCCAAGTCAATATGTAATCAAATAATTTGACTTCATTGTGTTGCTCTCTATTCTTACACAGACAATATACAGCTAAATATAATAACTACAAAAAGTTGAACAAAGTTATATATATAAAACTTTGACTTTTTACTATGTACAAAAGTAACTATATAAATATATCTCAAACAACTAAATAGCAAGCCAGAGTGCAAAGGCTGCTGGAATTAATATAGGAGGATTCATGTAACAGGTTATATGCACGATAATTACTAAAAATATAATTGATGGTGGGGTTTATTCACATGTAGTGTTAATGCCTGGAAACAAAACACATGTCCGTGTTTAAATAAGTTGACATGTTTGCCTTGGTTTACACTGTCCCTCTTCTAAGACTGGATTTACATTTAAAGTGTTTTCATTGAAGGTGTGTCCTCCCTCCCCTGCAGGCTGGAAGTGGGGCCTGTTGTGTTTGATGGAGTCTTAGGAAAACACGTGTAAACACATGTGGAGTGAAATGGCCCATCAGAGACTCTCCCGGTAGCAGACTCGTTTCTACAAATGAGCTTTGTTGGGGAGGGGGGGGGGCTTCACAGCGGGAAGTCTGCAGCTTCACAGCTTCCGAATCGCCCTTTCTCACCTAATGAGGACACTCATAAAACCCGCTGATAAGACCGCAGACAAAGGGCCGTGTAATGGAGTGGGGGGTGGCCCGGGAGAGAATAGCTCGTGTAGCAAAAAGGAGTTAAAACAGAACCCACCTGGGCGGCGAGAAATGACCCGAGTTTGGTCTAAAAAAAGGATATTTTACGCACAAGACTTTTACGCACAGCGCGGCGCAGATGTTAAAGTTTGTCTCCCGGTGTTCATGATGCAGATTTGTTCACGCCCGTCACCCTGAAGACACTCCGGTGTGTGTGTTGACCTGAGGCCCGGTGTTTTCCTCCGCAGACTGTTGGGGAGAAAATGGAGTGTGTGCCTTTAAGGCGCCCGACTGCCTGTCGCTTTCTGCTGCGGAGAGACTGACGCCCTCTGGACACAGTGGACACTTGAGCGGCGGCAGAACACCATCCTGGAGAAGTTCAAAGAGAAAACAACCACTCTCCCTGTTAAAAAGAAAAGTCTCGGATTTGTTAACAGCGCTGAGGTAAGTTTAAACCCCCTCTCTCTTTATTGTGTCGCTGTTTCCTGCACTGCTTTCTCTTGTGGCTGCGTGCGAGTGAAACAAAGTTTTTGGTGTTAGCGATGTGCCCCAAAAAAGAGAGGTGAAGAAACGCGTCCATGAGTGAGGCAGCTAATGTTCCTCACATGTTCTCTGCTGAAGTGGAACAATGTGCAGCAAAGTGGTGAAGTGTAAAAAGCAACAGACAGTGTGTTCACGCGCTACACTTTGGGAAAAATAGGTGAAGGAGGCTGATGTTGCCAGATGTCTGTGTTGTTATCCCTCTGTAACAGTGTGAGTGAGATCTGGCTTTGAATGAAATGTGACGCAGGCCTTTTAGAAAAGTGATGTTTACATGTCAAAGTTCTTCTAGATCACAAAGCTGAAATGTCCCTTTATTTTGTACTCACTTCTTTACGTTTTTGCTGCAGTTTGTAGCACTACAATTACGTTTTTAATATACTACAATATTAAAACAAACCAGTCCTGTACTGTAAAAGTACTCGAATAAAGAGAATACAGATAAAGACATGATTCATTATTGTTGCTTAATTCTACATTTACTAAAATTCATCAGCAGTTCATGGTTATAAAACAAGATATTACATTTTACAGTTATGCAACTAATGTTTATTTTCTTATGGATTAATCTGTATTTATTGTCTCGTTTCATCTATTGGTTTATTTAAAGTGAGAGAATAGATGAAAAAGTCTACTCCCATATTCTTGAAGTCAAAATGTATAACTTTAAATGTCTTTTCCTGCTGAATCCAAAACCTAAAGTTGTTCTATTTAACATAAACAAATGAAGGAAATCGCCTTCTTTTGGAAGCCCTTTTTGCATTAAAGACTACCGGCATGGTGATGGGTTCAGCTCTTCTTACTTTACTTTGCAACTTTATATCTGAATTGTGTAAAAAAAAAAAAGTGTCTCCTACTTTGTATTAGGAATCTCAAATTGTATAATTTCCATCACGCACCACCTTTTGTGTCCTCTTATCTTTTTAACTGCAGCTCTTCACTTCTCCTCCTGTGGAATGTGTGTGATGGAGTTGTGTTTATTTGTGCAGGTCTCTGAGGTCCTGTCCTGTGTCTCGTGTTGTTCTAGGTGTTTCCAGTGCCGTGCTGGTGAGCCGTCAGGATGAGGCCTGGTCAGCTGATCCTCCCCGCCGCCGCCGCGCTCCTCTTCCTCCTCGCAGGACTGTCCCCGACCTCCGGCTGCAACAAAGCCCTCTGCGCCAGCGACGTCAGCAAGTGTCTCATCCAGGTAAAACACATCCACCTTTTTCTTACATAACTACTCAGACTCTTTCCCTTCTGGCTGCACTGATTCTCTGAGTCACTAGCAAATTAATTGCACGAGGTATTTGGGAGTTTGGATCTTTATTTTAATTTTAAACGATATTTGTGGCAAAATGTTGTGTCTCTGGCTCCTCCAACAATGCAACTCACAATATACTTAAAGAGGCCCTCTTTTGCTTTTGGGCGTTGTCCCTTTCTTGTAGTGTTATATAGGTTTTTATGGATGTAATTGGTCTGTAAAGGCTAAAAGCCCTGTGTTCCCCCCAGAAGGAGCTTCTCTCCTGCCCCCCTCACTGCTTGACACGCCTCCATTGGACTCCTTTGTTTACTTCCGTAACATAGTGACATCACTATGTTACACTTGTGCATCTATTGGCTAGTAATCCAACAAACTGAACATGATAGGCTAAAGGGCGGGACATCTCTAAACGGTTGACCAATCACAACAGAGCTGGCCAGCTAACCAATCAGAGCAGACTGGGCTCTGGTTTCAGACAGAGGGTGAAAAGAGGTGCTGCAGCACAGACAGTATGAGAGAAATAAAGAGCTTTATGATTATTAAAGCACGTTAACATGTCACAGTAGAGACACAACATAAAATGTTGAACCTGAAAATCACCACAATAAGCCCCTTTTTAAATGTTAAACTTAATGAATGGATTTCTGTTTGTTGGTGTTAAACGTTTTTTAAACTACATGTCTCAAAATGTGGATCGCTGCAAGATCCAAAATATGTAAACAGCAGACCTCCACTGTGAAGTTTTGATTCTCTACCTCACTGCTCAGTAACAAACAGACAGATACCCTTGCTGAGTGCTGCTGATCATTTCTGTAGATTAAAGTGGGAACATTTATATTACAGAACATCCAAGTTCAAGCTTTTCTTCCTTCAGTGTTACAGCTGTTTTTTTGTAAACAGAGATTTCAATTTCTCTTTAACAAGAACCTAAATTAAATTTCGTCTGCAGCCGGAGTCGATTTCAAGTTTAGAGCAGTTGAAAGCTTGTTTTAATCATATTTAAATTAGCGTTAAACTGGCAGAACGAACTAAAAACTACACAAGAAAATATGCTCCCGCTGTTATGTCTTTTAGGCAGGTTTTTGAAAACTCTTCAGATGAAAACAGAACTCCTGAAACCCAGCCGCAGCCTAAATCGAGTTAATTTTGGTCCGTGAATCTGGAGCAGAGAACAAAGATGGAATCTGTTGGGAAGAATTCAAAATGCATTCCTTCAATAAGCCGAGTAAAGTCAGGAGGAAGGTTTTTCCCACAGCGAGCAGCAAAGATCTCACTGTCAGTTTCATGCACACCTGCTCTCTACCTGTACAGAAACACTTCTTTGATTTATGTGCGGTTTCCTTTTTATTTGCACTCCTCTGACTTCTGTTGACTTTCTGACATCACTTCCTTGGTGTCACTTTTTCCCTCACCCGTGAAGGCCAAAAGGTGAAGGACAGAGGGAGTTTCCCTGCTGCCTAACACGAATCCTCTCATCTAATCCCGTTTTATTTTAACGAGAAAATATGATGAGAAGTGTGGGCCTGTTTTTCCCAGAACCTGTCAAGTCAAATTTGAGCTGCCGCTTGTCCACTGTCCTTCTGGGTGTGTGTGTTTGACCTGCTGTGTGTTTAGTGGCCCTGCCCCTCACATCAACATCAGTAAAGTACTGTGTTTAACCTCAGTGGCCATTTCACCTGTGTGACCTTAGCTAACCAAAGCTATTATTATTATTATTATTATTATTTTCTTGCAGGCAGTTGAGGTAGACTTGATTGTTGGCACAGAAAGTTGAGCTGATAATTAAGGCTTTTGTTTGGAAATGAGATGTGGAAAAAAGGCAGAATAGATGAAGGATAGATGGCAAATTCCAATTAAAGTTGCAATAGTAGTTTGATTAAACATTTGTTTTCTTTTAGACATGTTTTGGTATTTAAACATCTGTTCAGTTCTCTGTATGATGGAACTAGAGATGTAGAGTTTGTGATAATCCTGATCAAATTTAAAAGGAGCAGCTTGTTAAGTTAAAGAAATTCAACGTACATTGAGGTGTAAAGGAATTCCTTAAACAAGTTTAGTAACAATTAAGATATGATGATAAGGGCTTCAGGTTAGTGGAGATTATTTGGTTTGGGTACACTTAAAGTGCTTGAAAAAATTGCCTTTTCTCTTTGGTATGGACTAAAGATCAGAAATTTTTTTTAAAGATTGAGTTCTTAAAAATTGTGTTGAGCATTTCTCACAATTTTCTGTGGAAATAGCATTAAACCGGTTTTAATACAGTAGATACAAAGTCATTCATGTCCATGCTTTTCCCAGGGTAATGACTTGCTGTTGGGCCTCTGTTCCTGAAAATCACTTTGTTACAGAATATATGTTCTGGTTTAGATTCCTTAATAAAAGTGCAATGATTAAATTACCTTGAATCTGGGCCCTCGGGGGTCTGCGCCCTCAGACGTTGCCCACTTTGCTCGGTTGGTAATCTTTTTCCTCTTCCGCCCTCATTTGGACAAAGTGAACCTGCAGTAACCTAATTGTACGTTGCTTTAAGGGAAACTCTCCTTGCGGCATGGCAATAAGGACACAACAAGACATGCAGTACATAAATACTTTAAATATAAACTGTTAAACATTACTCTTAAAGCTGCAACCCTCAATTGCAAACCCACAATCTAGAGGCCGAAAGCAAATGGATAAATGCATTTACTATTGCTAAGTTAAAAACTGAAATTCTCGCTTTAAAATATGTTTTAACTCCAGACAAGTCCATCTGTCAATTTTGTTTATAAAAATATCTATAAATCTGTTTACTTCACTTAAATATCACAAGTTATTGAACACATGACAATTGCTAGAGCCCAATGCCTTCATGACATGTTGATTGTTTTATAGGTAAAAGCCATTAAGAAAAGATGATTTTAAAGCGAGATTTAGCTGATTTTAACATTTTAAAAGCATAAACAAATACAAAAACGATCTAGATTTTTAGTTTTTAACTTTACAGGAAATAAAGTCTCTATTGGGCTTTGGAAACTATCAGACCAGATTGTTTTCAAGGATTTTTTTTACACAAACTTATTGTTACAAAAACCACAAATTCTCCTCCTTTGGCACAATTTAAACCCCAGCAGAACATTTGTGGTGGCTTCTTGTTCTTCTTCACTTCCAGGTGGCTTATTTCTTCCGATCAATCACTTGTAGCTCTGTAGCTTTGTCGACCCCGCCGACTCCGACCCGCCGGCTGTCAGAGGCGAGAGCGATGGTTTTGTGAAGGAGAAACTCTCCCCGCCTGCAGCCCCTCTGGAGCAGCTCCATGTTGCTTGTGATTAGTGGGATCTGCTGCCCGACGCTCGCTTTTACGCTCTGCTGCCATCTCAAGTCATTTGTCTGAATTCCCCAAAACCCCCGAGGGTGGGAGAACATGAGAGGAGGGAGGGGAGGCTGAGGTCAGGAGGAGGTGTGTGTTGGGGGAGGTTGGCTGAGGGAAATGTACAGTTTAGTAGTGCAGAGATTCACAAGCCGGTTCTCTACAGGGTGGGGCAGCAGATTTCAAAGTTAACACACAGCAGCGGTCGCTCTGCAGGACGAGGCTGCACATGTTCACTTTCTCCCCACAGCCCCTTTGTCTCGCTGCAGCTGAGTTGTCACTGATTACAGCATGTTTCTGCCTGAGGGAAGCCAAGTAGAAGCTCTGAAGGCAGTCGAGATAACCTCATCAGGGAGGAGGATGTTGATTGTAGGGTTGCAACTGCGATTCATCTTGGGCATATGATTGGTCATTTTGAGTCATTTCTTTCATTTTACAGAATAAACAGTTTCAATTGTTTTGACCAACCATCTGTCCAAAACCCAAAGAGATTCAGTTTAATTTAAGACAAAGAAAAGCAGCAGATTCCGGATTTAAATAATTTATTCTATTTTTGCTTGATAAATAACTTTGACAAAGCTAGGCAAGCAGTTTCCCCTGCATACAATCTCTATGCTAAGCTAAGCTAAGCTAATCACCTCCTGGCTATAGCTTCTTACCCGATAGATACAAAAATGTTAATCTATTTATTTTGATGTAGTGTTTGTAGATATTTTAAAAATAGGAAAGGCTAGTACTTCCCCTACTCCTATTATTTAAGCTAAACTAAGCTTAGGCTACCTGCTAGCTCTTCCTCTAAAATCACAAATTGTACTTTTACAATTTAACTTTATGCTGAACAAATAATGAACAATGTGGTGATTAGCATGATATGGAAGAGCTAGTTTGTAAAGCTAGGCTAGCTGTTTCGCCCTGCTTCTAGTCATTAAGCTAAGCTAGGCTAAGCTCCCCCTGGCTATACCTAGACATCCAACTTCTTCATATTTAGGTAAAACTTGTCAAGAAAGTGAATAACTATTTTTCTGAACTATTTAATTATAGAAGTATAGTGTTTTTATGTAAATATTTTAAGCATTGGAAAGGCTAACTTTATCCCCTGCGTACATTATTTATGCCAAGCTTAGCTAATCACCTAATGTTTCTAGCTTCTAACTTTCCAGACATGGGAAGTAACAATATTCTCATTTAATAGGTTGATTTTTTTTTGGTGGTCTATAACCACAATGGTTGAATTCTTTATTTAAAAGGGATAAAGTGCTTGAATGTAGATATTTTAAACTTTGAAAGAGCTAGCCGGTTCTCCCTGTGTCCAGTGTTTATGCTAAGCTAACCATCTCCTGGCTCTCTCTGTTAAAGCATCTTTTATTTCCATATGGTTGTTAAAAGTTTCCTGAATTGTGAAATACGAGAGCCATGCTTTCCCCCGGGGCAGCTGTTTAGTTTTTTATAATTCCACCTTGGAGAGTCATAATTACTCCTGGCATCAGATCTTGATCAGAGGTTTGCGGATAGAGGCTGGTGATTAAGTGAACTGTGTGTGGTTTTGCAATCCCTCGCTTGGTGAGTCATGGGAGAGTCTTTTATCATCGGCTTGACTGTTTTTGTGTAGGAGATGGCTTCTGTGAACATCTAAAGAAGGAGAAGAAATAACAGAAAAGAAAGCAGAAGGGAAGAAAGAATGGTGGAAAGAGGCTGAAGGGAGAAGGGAGGAAAGGAGGGGGAAAGTGTGTTGTTGGTGGAGCAGACATGTTCTGTTCTCCAGGTGTTTTCTTCTCCCTCCCTCCCTCCCTCTGTTTCTCCCCCTCCACCTCCCTCATCGCGGTGACCTTGACTTGGAGGAATGTGCTCCCTGTTCTGTGTCAGGAGAAAACGGGGAGGTGGGGGGAAGAAAGAAAGAGGAACTCACCCACTTTTCAACCCCACCTACACATCTAGTTTCCTTCACTGTCTCTCCGTCCCCAGAGACAAGCTGCAGTTGAGGAATGAAGATATTTAAGACTTTTTTAGAAGAGTTATGGCATCACCAGAGGCTGCATGGTTTTGGGATGTTTGCAGATAAACTCTTGTAATAACATTACCTTATTTTTTACAAGAGCCAACATGAGAAGTTTGCTGCAGAGCTTTTCCCCCCTCTGTTGTCATTTCTGTGGAGGAAGCATTTAGGAAAGAAGAACCAAATGAAACAGATCTTTAGTTTAAAAGTTGTAAGAAATCACTTGGCTAAAGTTAATGCATGCACACATTTCATAACAAAGCATTGTTTTTAATCTTGTTGTAGTTGCACTGCATTACCTTTTTAATACATAATGTACTGAATATGTCTGCAGGTTTTAGACTTGAACTTATAAATAAGGAAACATTGATCCAGCTTTTTACTTTGATAAGTAAAATATAAAGAACTATTAGCAGCAAATTGTACTCAGTCGCAACTCTGCAAAATGGCTTGAATTAAAGGTGGGGTATGTAATTTATTTCAGAAACACTTGTTGTTATATTCCATGGAATTCTCTTAACATCCCGATAGCAATGAATATATTAAATGCTTTGACAATAAAAACATAAAAAAATGTCATCTGTGGAAGCCGTAGCGCTGTAAAAAACACGACCAATCATCTGAGCCGGCCCGGCTAAAGTAACTGGATGCCCTACCTGCCTGTCAGCCTTCCATCTGTGCACAAACTTATCTCGTGCCCTCATTGGTCATGTGCGCGTTCGTGTGTGTTGGAGGAGGGGCTCTGTCAGGAAGTCGGAAGGAAGGGGCAGATTTTTTCCGGTTGTGTATTTTCAAATTCTAGCGCACTCGAGCTGGTTTCTCCAAAATGACATACCCCACCTTTAAATCTATTATTTATTATATAATTGTGTTGTTAGGTCTATATTCCTGATTCCTTAGTGTTAAAAGCAGCATCTTAATATACATATTTCAAGGTATATTTTACACTGCATATACTATTGGGTACGTTCATTGACAACAATGTATATTTAATAAACTTAGCAGATGTTTTGACATATAAAATCTTCATCTCGGAAGTAACACAGGTACATGTATTTCATAATTCCCTTTAAAGTGTAGAGGAGGACAAGTTGGAGTACAGTACTTGAGCCTCAGCTTCAGTGTAAAAACCATTCAAGAAAATTATTAGTGAACTTTGACATGTCAGAACCTGCTCTGTTTATGAATGGAAACAGCAGAAGGTTAGTTTTCTCTCTCAGTTATCGGGGTGTTGCATACTTTGATAGACACAGTAATAGTTAGTGTGCATGAAGGGAACCTGCTGTTGCTCTGTGTGTTTTAATGGTACGTCTGCAGCAGCACAGCCACTTGTTGAGTCTGCTGTGGGATTTCTAACACTGAGACCTGCGTGTTTTACACTGAACATTGTTCTTCATTTGATATTTAATGTGTAATGCATGGCTTCCTTTTTTTATTTCTGCTAAAATGACATGAATAAGCTCAATGGGAAAACATTTTCCACTGAAGTTTTGACCGAAATCGCAGTAATGAAACGTTTTGAACCCAGATGAAACAATTAAACAAGAGCAAACCTCTTGAATGTATAGAAACCAAAGGGTTGATAATATATCAACATATACTACACCACTGTTTTGAATCCAACCAAAATGTGGAGGATGAATCTTGCTACTGTTTACTTAGTTTACTTATCTTTGTTAACCCTCCTCTTAAACTTAAATGTATAAAAGCAACAAAAAAAACACTTAACATTGTTATAGTACCGTGATACTTTCTGGCTTTTATAACTGTATTAAAAATATATAATAGGATTTTGAACTGATGATGTTTCAGTACGCTATAAAAAATGGTACTTGTGTTCGGGTTTCTCTTAGAACATTTTACCAGGAACACAAAGGGTGTTTTTTTTTAATTATTATGATTATCTATAAACAGTTGGGATCTGTTAAACTAATAAATAAGTCAAGCCAATGTTAACAAGCTCAAATCTATTAATATAAGAAGAAATTAAGATGAAGTGAAATCTATTTGAGTCGATGAGTCTACATTTCCTGGCTCCCAGATGGTTTTACCCACATTATTTTGGGAACAAAAATCTTGAGGATTTTCGGTAATCTTTATTATGTTACATGCATGTTGTTTAATGTGTGTGTGTGTGTGTGTGTCCTTCAGGAGCTGTGCCAGTGTCGCCCGTCAGACGGGAACTGCTCCTGCTGTAAGGAGTGCATGCTGTGTCTGGGGAACCTCTGGGAAGAGTGCTGCGACTGCGTGGGTGAGTTAGCGTCTGCGTTTATTAGCTACATATTTTACAGCTGACAGCAAAGTTAAGTCAGCATTTCATTTCAGGATTTACTTTGTAGCCCACGCTCCGCGATGACTGTCGAGCTGAACATCTGTAGAAGAGATTAGTGCCAGCAAAGGTTGTTTTTAAGTCGTATGAATCATGAACTTTGTCAGGTACAACTTTAAAGTTAAACCACAGGAGTGAAATGGAGTCGGAGCTTTTATTTATTGTGAATAAATCCCATTTCAAATCCTCCTCAAGTCCTACATGTAAAACTTTGTCATCTGGAGCTTCTGCTGCTTTTATTCACCAGATCAAGACCTTCTCCATCATAGCTCCAACGCAAATGTTGAAAATCGACTAAAATATTTTAAATAAATTGCAGTGATTAAATAAAATAAAATATAATTCAACCTATTACAGTTTTAACATACTGTATTAAGTTCAAAGTGTTCAACTCAAATTAATTCTTAAAATGAACTTAATCAAAACAATATATTTCTCCACTATTACAGGGTGTCCGCGGGGTCTTAAAAAGTATTACAAGTTGATCAATAAATTTAGCGAAAATGAAGGCTATTAAAAAGTATTAAACGGCATTTTCCAAGGTATTACATTTTGTAGCTTGTTTTCAATAAGTATATAAATTTTCCAAAGAGGTTGTATTCTACAGTCTGCCTGAATGTAATCATTGCGTAGGTGTGTAGTGTGATTCTGTGTAGTTTATTTTAGGGCTGTATCGGAATATTCATTCATTGGAGTACTATTCGGGTTTCAATTTCGTTATTCGTTTTGTTTGTTTTTTCGTTTTCTTCCCGGTTT